GCGCTGCCCGCCAAAAGTCAAGAGCCTTTTCCACATCTCCGTTCCGCTTTGCGATATCTCCGAGGCGGAGCATGCATTCGCCTCGGTTTCGAGGGACATCCATTTGTGTAAACTCCTCCAAAGCGACGGTGAACATGCTGCGCGCTGTCTCTTCCTCTCCCTGTGACAGAAACATGTCCCCAAGCGAGCACAGAGCCTTGGCAGTCATCGGCTTAGAGTGTGCTCCGAGACCATGAACGAGGAAGACAATCGCCCAGCTAGACATCGAGTCAACGCTGTCGGCGCCCCATCGGCCGATATCGCCTAGCCTCTCCAGACTATTGCTGATCCCTTCGCCGTCGTTCCCCCAACTTAAATTGAACGATCGCTGCAATAATCCCTTGGCAGCAACCGTATCCCCGCGAAGAAGCTCCAGCTCCGCCAAAACGATGTCGCAGGATGTCTCCCCAGGAATCCATTTCATGGTGCTGAACACCGATCTGGCTGCGGCGAGACTCTCTCGTACCTCGGACTCCGGTTTGTCCGAATCCATCAGGATATCGAGCAAGGCGAGGTTCACCTGGGCCATGGCGTAGTTGTAGTTGACCGGGACGAAGACCGCGGCGCTTGCCTGTGCAATCTGCGTCTGGATTTCGTACGATGCCGCGTATTCTGTTTTCAAACTCAGGGCCCCCGCCTCGCAGTTCAGGAGCCGGAGGTTCGCCTCGCCTTCGGCCAAACCGCAAAGCCCGAGCAGCTCCCGCGATCTCTGGCAGAGCTGTACGACTTGCTTGTAGTCGCCGAGCGCGGAGCACGCAATGGCTTGGAGATATATCGATCGCGACTCCTGGTACAGGTTTCCAGACGACCGAGCGATCATTTGGCCCTCCCGTCCCAGCCTTCGAACTTCCGGATAATTGCTCATCTGATAGTTGAGCCAGGCGATCCCATTCAGGGATCTGCATTGCTGCGCGTTGTATCCGCTCGACTTCGCCAGAGACAGCGATTTTTCGAAAAAGTTCAAAGCAGAGGGCAAGTTCTGGTCGTGGTCGAAATAATAGAGGGCAATCACAAAATAAAATCTCGCTGTACAGTTCCTCAGCGGATCAACTCATGGATTCATTTAACGCGTACCTTCTTCCAGCGGATTATTGATGCAGGAGAAGTGTTCGCGGGCCTGAGCGATCAACCTTTCGGGCTCTTGGATCGGGAAAACATGCCAGGAATAAAACTGCTCTATGATGAAGAGCGCCTGTATTTTGTGGTCCTGGACCTCTGAGGCCAACGCTGGAATCATATCCATCAGAACCGAACCCCCACGGTTCGTCCGTCGGTTGAATCTGCTCAGGGACATGGCGCACAGCAACGTGTCGGACAGATCGGGGTTGTTTGACTGCAGGCCCAAGATCAGGATGCTCTGGAGATTTCCGAGGTTGAGGGTGATGCGGTTGACGACCACCGGATTGGTTTGGAACCCTTCCTCGTAGTCCACGTAAACCTGCAGCAGCTGCTGGAAGTATTGGCGGAGTGAGCGTACGAGCGGCTGCGATGGTGGGTGGACTTGGCGCATGTATTCGCGAATAGGTACCAATGTCGTGAGTCGCTCATTCTGATCCGCGTATGCCAATGACGTCCGCAGGAGAGTGGTCTTGCAGGCGAGAACATCGTCGATAGGAAGGCAGCTCTGGAGAAGCTCGATATTGGAGAGCCCGTCGGGAAGGAGCGACAGCAGGCTCAACAATTCCTTGGCACCTACTGTCATCCGAGACCCCGAAAGCGACAACGTGATAGAAATGTCCAAGTTGGATCTTTTATCATAGCCCTCAGAAAAAAGGGACATCTTTTCCGTTTCCCACCGGGTCAAAACTGCAGGACATCCCTCGTAGTCAGCCAAATGGGCGATAATCTCTACTGCGAGCGGCAGGTTATCGGTGAGAAGGAGTAATTTGGCGATGTCCTCGTCCTCATGAACGTTATCCGCGATGTCGAGGAATGTCTCCCGAGCGGCGGCATGCGTCAAGGGATTCAGTGGGGGTATAAATTGGTGAGTCCAGCGCACTTTCGCAGGTCTTTCCGCCCCACGCATCGTAACCTAGTGCGGAATGATTGGCTCACGACACCTCGTACAGTACATTTCACTCACAATTAATGCAAGATGTTGAACATCGGCCAGAAGCGCGAGAAACCCCTCGACCTCCCCTCGCGAATCCACACGTTCCCAGGATGTTTCGAGATTGTCCAGAACCAACAATGCAGGTGCGCCTTCCGCGAAGTATTTTACAACCTCCCTCGTGAGATTCTTGCTGGGCTTCAACCCGATGTGTGCTCCAACGAGCGCGATGAGTGCGTCGCTGGTGCCAGCAGAATCAGAGGCGACGAAAAATCGGCGCGTGTCGTATCGTGCCAAGACTGCCGGGTGATGCAGAACCGCGCGAGCGAGGCTTGTTTTTCCCATTCCGGGGGCGCCGAGTATCGCGATTCTAGCGGTGGCGTCGGATTGCCCCGAAAGGACGGTGTCCACAATGATAGTGAGTTCGGCGGCGCGGCCATGGAATATCTTCGGCGTGGGTGGCAGCAGAGAGAAGGAGTCAGAGCTAGAATAGAGTGAACCAAAGTCATCAGATAGAAGTGAAACATACCTGTCTGGTGCGCTTCGAAATCCTACCGTTGACTGGTTCGAATTGTCTATAAGCTTAAATCTAAATATCTGTAAGGAGCCCTACCAGCGATATTCCGTCGGACGCCGAGTCATTATCAGAAACCGTCGCGATCAGCTCGAGCAGCTCTTCATGTATTCTTTCGGAATTTTTCTGCATGTCTGACATACCGGTCAAGACGCTTGCGCCGATGTGAACCTGAATTAGTGACGGTTAGGTCTCCGTGCGCAGAAAATAATTATAACGAACCTTGAATGCATCCAAAGCCTCCTCCAACCCGGCGTTACACTCCCTCAGGAGCGCAGCATCTTCATTCTGTCGGAAGAACTGCTTGAACCTGCTTCCGTCCTGCTGCGCCTCGACGAAGACGTGGATTTTTTGCAAAGTCCTGCACCATCGTCAGTCACCGGGTTATTAATTGCAAAAGGGCAGGAGGTTGAACCCGACCAAATCACATACTGAGTGAACTTCCCAATTTGATTGACCGTGGTCGGAGATAGCGTCTCGGAGTCGCGGTTCGCGTGCAAGCTGATGATAGCGTACAGTAGCGCGTGCACGCTTTCCAGTAGCCCCGCGCAGTCGTCTTTGTTGCGTTTCGCCGTCTACTCACGGTAAAAACATGAGCTCGGAAAGTGTAAGTTCAAGTACCTGCACCGCAACCAAGAGCGAAGCGGTCACGCTTGAAATAACCGCTAAGAACGGCGTACTGTGGGAGTGGTCAGCGATCTCCCGGAGAGTCGCCGCTGCGACCGTCAGGTATCCAGCGATCTTGTCGACGCGGGGTTCGTAAGCCAGGGTGACTTGGGTATGGACGGGCATGTTGGATGAGCTGATCAGACACAGGCCCCTGGTTTTGAATATGCTTCTTTGTTTCATCAATTCATCTAGATATATGGGGTGTTTTGAATTGGGCTGATGACTGCGTGTGGTAAAACCCTGTACGGTAAGCGCCAAATGTTTGCTTCGCAGATGAAAGTGCGGGATGCCCAAGTCAGGCTGCAACAGGAGGCTCCTGACCCGAAGGATTTATTGGCCGTATCTGGAGCGAGCTATGCAAGGCAAGGGCCGGTGGTTTATGAGAGGGACTAAACAAAGTTTGAAAACCGCCATCAGAAATGCGAGTGTCTATCTGGAAGGCGTGTCATTGGTATGTTATTCAAAGACCTCTTCACGCTAGGACTTATTGGGTGTTCTGATAAGACTTCCCTTATAGAACATATACATTCGGGTTAAGCGAAGTCAGGTTGGTTCACCCATCACGGCGAAAGGTGAAAGGGGTGGCGCCAGGTTACGACATCAAACACATGTTTACCAGGAGTTTTCCGAACGCTGAAGGATTGAGGCGTTATCGATGTGAGAATCCAGGAGTTTGTCGATGAGTATCAATACGTAGCGACGTCGTTTAGCGAGAACCAGTCCGCTGCCTTGAGAATGAACACCGCAAGAGAACGAGAAGAAGAGAGGCCCCTTCCCCCTTGATGTCCAAGTCCAGGACTTACTCCGACTCAATCCAGTGATGTTCGTATGAAGTCTTTTGATCAGACTTTCTTAGCTTCAAATTGTCGGAGAGATGCGTTCGGCTAAGCACCATCGGGGAGGTTTGGTTGGGTCACACCAGATCGACAGGAACCAGATTACGACATTTAACACAGTTTTCTAGAGTTCTCTCGGCGTCTGTTTCACTGGCCTGAGAAGATTACTGCCTTGTACTAGGGCGCATTTGAGGTGGTATCTTTAGACCCGCTGTTTTCTGACTGAGTTGAGGTGGAAGGGTCGAGACATTGAGGTCATTCAAGTCAAAACCTAGGGCAGTTTCTATGCGCAGCGCATTGCCATCACGCCGCCAGCGCGCTAGAAACGGGTTACTAGTCTCTCGTAGACAGACGCTTCAACAGATGGAGCTCGTACCTCGCTTGTTGAAGCTAGATACCCTCCTCACGTCACACTCTTCGCCAAGGGCTACAAGCTCATCGTGCTCGACGAGGCGGACATGATGACCCAGCAGGCCCAGGCCGCCCTCCGCCGTGTCATCGAGCAGTACACCAAAAATGTCCGCCTCTGCATCATCTGCAACTACGTCAATAAGATCGCCGACATCGAGTCGGTCTCGGAGTACTCAGATCCACCTGAGCTTCAAGTTAGATGGAGAAGCTAAACGACGCCAGACCAGCAGAGCGACTCACTGAGAATGACGATGCGCTAAAAAGTCAGACCGGTGATGCTCAGGCTATCACTCGGGTCAACTCGTTTGCGCCGGATTCGCACGGTTCTCATCAGTTCCGTAAGTGGATGATGATGTTAGTTCTGGAAAGGAACAGGAAATTTTTGGAGCAGTAATAACAAGTCAAAACTCGACGAGAAAAAAGGGGATTGGGAGGATCGAACTCCCGGCTCGCCACATATGCTAGTTCTCAGCTCGAGCTCTATATTTGCCGTACTGCTCGCTTCTATTCTGGCGTGTGTTCCACTACACCAAATCCCCGACGGTGTGTGACTCATTTCCCCACCAGGTGCGCCACTTGCTCCATGTTCCAAGCCTCCTCATAAAGTCTCGGCATGTACATTGACATAAAGACATTTGACATCGGATCCCTCGATATTCGGTGGCTAGTAGTGGCAATTGCTTTGGCCTGAGGCTGCGACGAAAATTGAAAGGGAAAGTGCTTGAGAGGAGGAACAATTACTGGTCCCCATGCTTTCTCCTCTTAAGACAAAATCCGATTTGCCTTGCAACAAGGAGTAAGATCTCAAGATCGTGGTTCGATTAATTACTTATGATTGAACTTGAGTGAGTGAGCGTACCTGACATTACCGACGGCAATTAAGCGGTTTAAATCATGCGATGAGGAATTTCAAAAGAATAGAGTGTATGTAGCCGTGCATTCATTGGTGGGAAGAAAGGACTCAACGTAATGTGACGTCACGCACCGTCCTCTTCCTTCACCACCTCCTCAGCCACGGAAAACATTTCAAGCCGTTTACCCTCCCTTGCTTTCCTCGCCTAGAGTTGGATTGGATCCAAGTTCCTAACATTATTTTTGAGGATGTTGCGTTCAATGCACTAACGCGTCAAAGACGCAACCCGCAATGCTCGCAGCCCAGACGCATCCAGAACGCTCGAGACGACCGTGTTCCCCGTCTCACTTGCGGAAGTAAACTTGTACAGGCCTGGCTCAACATAGGAGCCGCGGGGGCAACTTTTTTTCTCCTATCTGCTGGGTGGCTGTCCTTGCTGTTGCTTTGATTCTGCCCCTAGGCTTGACGCGTTCACCACATTACCGCCCACCGTTCTGCGCATCTCTCGCCTGGGCACACGATGGCACCAATCTCACTGGGCGGATGGGGGCGGTGAGGTGACTGGAAGTCGATTTCCCTGAGGACAGATGGGTGAGACTTGGTGTCTGAGACCTGCGAATGTGCGACACAAATTTCGAGGTATAAAAGGTGCGCCTTTGCTGGATGGAATCCTCTACCAAAACCCCAAATCCAAGCTCAAATCCATCCACCAATATCAACTACGATGTCTTGCAACGACAACAACAACACCTCGTCCACGATGCCCTCGCGGCCCTCCCTCGCTCGCTCGAAGACGATGCCCGCATTTCGGCGCACCCTCTCTATACCCTCCGTCGATAGGTCGCTCGCCTCCCTCCGAGCCTCGTCGAGCAAAGGCATCCGCCGGATGTCTACATTCCGCACTTCCAAGGCCTCGTCGACGAGCACGATCCGCCCTTCCGCCTCAGTGGAGTCCATCCCGGTCTTCACAACTCTGGACTACACACAGCCCGCCGCCTCGTGTGCTCCACCGTCGGAGATCGTCTCCCCTTTGACACGCCCGACGCCTAAGCGCGCCATGACGATGCCAACGCCCGTCCGCGCACTTCGTTCCACGGCACTTGCCAAACTACCTGCTATTAAGAAAGCCGTCTGCGAGTGGCGGCCGCGCAAGGCATCCGTATCTTCCGTCGAGTCGGTTTCGTCCGTCTCCACCACTTCTACTCGGCGGCGGTCCTCTTCCGTGACCAGCGTCGAGTCTTTCAGCACGAATGAGAACCAGGTCACCCTGGGCTTGCGTCTGCGCGCATTTCCCTCTACAATCCTGGGGTTGTTAACGGTATGTTTTATTTTCCGACGCTCTTTCTTTGTTCTGACCTGCCTGCAGAGCATCATGGCCGTTGTCCTCATCGCCATACTACCCGATATGGCCGCAGAGACGCCCAAGCGTAAGCCTGCCCAGCGTCCCTACGAGCGGGACATTCTCCTGACAGACGAGCAGGGTACGTTTATTTTATTTTATCTCATTGAACTAGGCTGATTCTTCGCGTTGAACAGAGCGCAACCCGCCGAAGCTCAGTCAGTCCACGTCGACGTCCCGGCTCTCCCGCCGCGTCGCAAAGGCGTACCGTCGCACTCTCCGCCGCGTCGCCCGCGCACGTCGCGCAAACACCCCCACAGAGGCGCTCGCTGTCCTCTTCGCGCCGACGCCCAAGCGCGTGCTCGCTTCCATCCCCGCCCACGTCGATCCCAAGACCTTGACGAGCGCGATTCCCCTCACCGTCTACTCGTCGTCGATCGCGCTCCCGCTGCAGAAAGGTCCTGCCCCCACTGTTAGGCCTGCACGCAAGGCTCCCAAATTCACCCTGCTGCCTACGGTGAAGGAGGAGAGCACGGCCGCCGCGCTTTGCGCTGGCTGGTGATGAGCTCAAGGTTCGTTCTTCGTAATTCAACCTCTACCGGTACTGATTTATTTCATCCAGGATATCGATTAATAAACTGCTCGCGGACTTCACGGACATTTGTACATTACCCATATGTAAATACCCAACGCAACGTATATAATATTAAACGATTCGCACCTGGCAATTGCGCGATTTTATTTTTGAGCAAGACCAAGCTTTCTTTGAAGGGCGTAGTCGAGAGGTACAGGTACCGAATTTTGACGGTGTACAGGAATCATCCTAGAACTACTCATGCCCTCCTTCGCGGACCCAGAATCAATGTATATTCGCTGGGCGGAAATCCATTCCATCAGTGCCGGTCGTGAGTCAAACTTTGAGCGGTACTCACAGCAGTCGGGGTAGCACGACCCCTGCGCACATTAGGTGTCGGTTGGGTGTGCTGCGCAGCAGGTATAAGCGAATATCTAAGCCAGAAGTCCGCCAAGAGGTAGCGGATGTAAATATGAGGGGAGGGTCGTGCAAATGCTCTCGAGGCCGCCTCCGGAAGGGTCATAAAAGTAATTGATCCTGGGCGCCGCGGCGAAGCCGCAGCGGAGGCGAAATGCTTGAATGTCGATGAATTGCTCGGGTCACATCTAGAGCAAGACGCAAGGGCCATGGATTTGAGGGTCGCACTAGCACATGTGCGTGAATCCACGGCTCTCTTGTTCGTCACTATTTATCACAAATATAACGGTGCACGATGCAGTCTTTTAATTGCCAACACATGATGGCAAGTGGTTCAGTCAGTTTCTCGGAGTTGCGAGGAAGTTGCGAGGAAAGGGAACAGCTTGCCCATCGAGTGTTAGCTATAGGATTCGCTCGAGAGACCATCCGACGCGCTGTATTGGATTCTGATAGTCGTTCAGGATCACACTAACTGAACTGTGTGAGCCTTTGCGGCGTACAAGTCAATAGACTTAGACTCGTGACCAGTCTGCCTACGGAGTGCAAAAATGTGGCGAGCACTTTTGCCGTAATTTTTTGCACTCCGTAGGCAGACTGGGCGGGAATCTGATGGCTTCCGCCCTGGGCTCAATTTAAATCTGTTTCACCAGACTCAATGGTAAGGTCTGATTGCAACGATACTTACTTGACATCTGTCTCTTCAGAATGTTGCGGGTGGCGGGCTTAGAGGCCCCAAAGTTGAATCAAAATTGATGGCAGTCGTGATTTAGTGATGGCTTCCGCCAAAAAAAATCAAACTCAGGCCCCGCCCAATGCGATCGAACGAGAAGTACTAGTCTGCCTACAGCAAAGTGCTTGCCACATTGTTTGCACTCCGTAGGCAGACTGGTTATGAGTCTACAATAGACTGTCCTGCGAACGAGTTGCCAGTGACCAGAAAAAGTTCTTTGAATTTCCCTTTTGTTGTGTTGGTCTACTTATATTTCGCCAATGAACGTAGCCTAAGGGATCCTCAGCAGGGGAAGACTGCGAAATATTTCCTCAGAATGAATAGGAGAAACTCGGAAGTAAATGAGAGAAAACATACCGGGAAGATCCGTTGATCAGTTATCTTATCGTGGGTGCGATTTTGAATAACGGATGAACAAAATCAAAATCAAAATCACGAATCGGATCTGGATAAGTAAGTTCGAAGCAGCAGCCACACCTCTTACACCTCTCCCACTCGCTCAAATGGATCAACGCCAAAATCTCGACGAGAAGAACACTGCCCCCGTTCAGGACCCAGAAGTCGCTGCTCGCGTTCAGGACCGAGAAGTCGCCGCGTCAGACCGGAGCCCCCCAACGACGAGCTGTGGGTTCGCTCCCAGTCGTTCTGATTTAAGAGCTGAAAATATTCCCCAGATGTCTTCAAACGGCTCTCCATTCTCGACCGTCTTCTGACGCCAGCGATATTGCTGACGATGATCGTCGGCGTCCTCATTGGCAACTATGTGCCAGGTGTCCAAGACGCATTCGACACCGCTCGGTTCGACGGCGTCTCTATTCGTGAGCAGTGATCATCGGTTCCTTCGGATGGTATATTTAACCGTGCCTACTCAGCCATCGTGATAGGCCTAATTGTCATGGTTGCATCCCTTTTTGTTCCGCCGAGACATTAAAATTGAACCAATTCTCAGATGTGGCCCGTTTTGACGAAGGTTCAGTACGAGAGCATCCCGCAAATTTTCCGCTCGTCGGGCATCTGGACGCACATCGGGATCTCCATGTTCTTCAACTGGATCGTAGGCCCATTGGTCATGGTCGGCCTCGCATGGGCGACGCTGCCCGACCTGCCCACGTACCGCACGGGCGTCATCATGGTCGGGATGGCGCGCTGCATCGCGATGGTCCTCATCTGGTGCCATCTCGCAAAAGGCGACGGGAACTACTGCGCAATTCTCGTCGTCATAAACTCCGTGCTGCAGATAGTCCTCTACTCTCCCTACACGCTGCTCTTCGTCAACGTCGTCGGCGGCCGGGATGTCTCGCAGACGCACCTCGACTACGGCGGCGTCGCCATCTCGGTCCTCATCGTGAGTCTCAGCGCTGGCTCCACTGATCCGCGGCTCACGATGCACAGTATCTGGGAATCCCCCTAGTGGCGGGCGTCCTGACCCGATACACAGTGTGGTATCTGACCTCGAAGGCGTTCCTGGAGGACAGGTTTCTCCCACTCTTCGGGCCACTGGCCCTCCTCGGCCTGCTCTACACAATCCTCGTCATGTTCGCGTACCAGGGGCACCACATAGTGCAAAACCTCGGCCCAGTATTCCGCGTGTTCGTGCCGATGATCCTGTACTTTGTCATTATGTGG